GGAAAAATCTAATTTTCATAGATTCTCTAATTCTATTAAAAATTCATGTTATTGGGACATGGATTCTACACAATTTTACTCATTGAACTCAACTTTGAAAATACCATAGATATGTTTGAGATTCTTCAAATCTATATAACCAAAATAATAACATACACAAATCACACAANGTGTATTAACGTTAAAAANATCACATNTCTTCAACGATATTATAATTCTCCAACTTTATTNAACACAAATTCATATAATAATAACTCATAAAACAGTAAACCCAATACCCAGTTCCCACTGCCATTTCTTCCTCTTCACAAATCTAGGCATCATCATCGTTGGAGTATCAAACGTTTTATTCCCTCGACAAGTACTTTTATCTTCAACCAAACTTTTATCTCCTCCGGTTCCATAGAATGTGTAGAATATCGTAGTTAATCGTATTAAAGAGCTAATCGTAGTTAGTATGAAATATAACACAATTATTTTCACAATCATATGAACGTAATAAAATCAAACTTGAAAATAAAACCCAGAAAAACAAAGTCAACTATAGTGGCTGAATGAGAACAATCATTTGAGGATAGCATAGTGTGGGAAAACCAGAGAGATACCTACAGTGGACGAGGGAGAAGGTGGAGAAGATGATGGGAAAGCAATATGTTCACGTTAAAAAATATTTTGGAAACTTTCTATGATAACATATATAATATTACCATATAAAGAGAAGTCTAGAAGACAAAAATCCATAACAATCCATAAAGTATTTGATAAGAATCTATGAGATTTGTGTTAATTCCAATAAAATTTATAAAATCTCTAGATTTTTAAAATTCTTAAAATCTATACAAATCCATTCCTAATAACACCCCCTAAAAAAAATAGAAAAAGTATTAGAGAGAGAGATTGGTTCTAAATATAGGAATTCATTAGAAACTATAATGAGACTTGTAAGTTTTTAATTGGCCGAGAGAGTTGGAATTAGTGTAGTAAACTGAGGTGGGCTGTGGAATCCAAGCTGGGCGAAGTTTTTGGACCCTGGTCTGATTCAGATAGAACGGTTATTGCGGTCGGATTCAGAGATGATGGTTACCTCGGTCTGTTTCGGACAAGACAGTTGCGGTAGGCTGCGGATCGAGCTGACAATATTCTAAGACATTTTGGCGGGAACGGTTACTAGGCCAAAGACGCGCTGGTTTAATGAAAACACGCGAAAACTGTTATTTCTGGGTTTTGGAACGCAGAACCAAGCGGGAAAGGTTATCTGGCGGTTTCGGAGGCAGTTTCTTGATAGAAACTTACCCATTATCTTTGTTTCACGTGGAGAAACAGATAGAAAGACTTAGATAGAATTTCACAGAGATTTTACCGAGAGAAAAGAGAAAATGCTCGAGAGATTCTTGAGAGACTTGAGCGTGGGTGATTTTGATCGTGTCTGGGCGTGTCGGCGATCGTGTCTGTGTGACGGATCATTGAGACAAAATGTGTCAGAACTGAAACGGATCAAGCAATCATCGAATCCGAGTGACTAAGGTGAGTGCGTGACTGTTTGCTAAGTCTAGATCGTTTTCTTGCATAGATTCATCGAGTCTTGACTGTTAGGGTGATTCTGACTATTTGTTTATCTGTTTTTGGCTTGATCGTGACGGTTGATTGCTTTCACCGAGAGTCTAGATCAGGCAATACGCTTGGAGGCAACGATGCTCGCTAAGGCTTGTCTGGTTACGGGAAGACTGCTCCGTGACTTGGGATAATCGGGCCGATCAAGTGACTGATGCGATGAGCATGATTGACTGATGATATGGACTGTTTGATTGCATATCTATTCTGTGGCTAAGTGAGACGGGACGATCACTCTCACTAAGCAATTCTGTTGCTTATGCCTCCTTTGTGGATGCAGGTAAAGAGATTTTCCGTGAAAAAAATGAGAGTTTTTGAGCCACAGTGACTAAGGCTAGAAAGGGAAGGATGGTGGTTGAATCGGTTAGATAGGTCTTATGCAATGTAATAGCTTATGTAGCAAACTGATCATTGTATTTGAACCTCATGATTTAATCTAAGTATTGATGTTTATGCTTAAAAAATATTGTCTTAATCAAAAATGGCCAAGTCTGGCCGAGACGGATCGATCCCGTTGATTAGATTTTGATACGTGTTAAAAAAATTTCAATTAGATTTTGCCACATATACCATACAAATCTTTTTTTTTTTTAAACTTATATATTTGTATTTATAAAGTAGATTACAAAAATCA